TGAACCTGAAGCTCCTGCCAGTGTCCTTTCTGGCTCTAGGGTTTGCCTCACATTGATCCTGTGAATGGGTTTGCCAAATGTCGGATACACAGTATGTGTTCAGGACCCCCTAAATGCAGATAGGTTTCCACATATGATTGAGGCCTTTAAGATCTCCTGTCAAACACTTCTTTTGCCAACAGTGCAGTGATTCTTAGACTGAAATACTAGCTTCTAACAACCTTTTATCTCTTGCCAACAATAATGCTATCGGATGAAACTGTTTTATCCTTATAGAGAGTTTAAATTTAAATAGTCATCTGCTTTCCAGAGTTTTAAATATTTGGTTTTTGGCTCATATCAATGTTAAGAGTTCATCAAAATAAGAGAGGACTTTAAAGTCGTCACTTCCTTTTCATACATTTATTGAACTTTAACCAAATCATTTTTAAAAGTTAAAAAAAGTTTCATATACATCAGGCTTAATACAAGTAATTATAATTTAGCAGATCTGATATTAGGCATGAGATGAACAATTTTACTTCAGTAAGGTAGTTGGTGGCTAAAAGGCGAAAACAGGAGTTCTTTAGAATGGGATTTAAAACAGCGTCATACTATTTGATAAGGATTTCTCAGGAACACATACTATGTGTTTCATCGCTTTCATTATCGGTATCTGAACCATATATATTGCAACAGTATTAACTGATCTTCATATACTATCACAAACTTACAGAATGGTAAATAAAATCCTCATTGCATCAGACATGTGCTCATTTGCTCTCTCCTGTCACCATCTGCTTTTTCCATGTAAAAACACCAAACACTCTTGGGAGAAGCACTTTGGTTCTTGCAGAAATGACTCAAGTGTCACACTTAGCATTACCTCACCTCCATTAGCTAATGCTGGGCTGAATACAAATCATTCTGGGGATGGTGATCTCATCTTAGAAGGATTAAAAAAAAATCATCCCTTAAGGGAAACATTTAACGCTCTAAATGATACAAAACATAAATGGGAAAACATACCAAAAGGATTTAAAAATCTATCTTCACAGAGCAATGAACTTAACACTAATTGTTTCTGACTGTACTGATGTATATAATTCCATCAATTCAGGATGGAATTCTAAACATATTAGATCCTGGAGATATCTTAATAGACCAATTGGCATTAGATGGCAAATTTGAATTGGGTCTTAGACTCACTTCTCTAGTTTCTAGACCCCTTTAACATTGCCACTAAAGCTGCTACAGACAGATCTTCAAAAGCTAAAAAAAAAAAAAAAAAAAAAGGTTGTCAGTATAAATTTAAACATTTCGTGCTGTGTTTTCCTAAACAAGTGAAAAGTTGCTTTTCCTATTTATATTCTGGTTAGCCAACTAAAGGGACCATTGTATATAGCAATAATGCAGTATAGCAGAATAAATGATCTACAATGAAGGCAGGAAAATAAAAATTCATTTCTAAAATTGAAATTTCTATATGAAGTTCTAAAGTGTTAAAAGTTAAAAAGCCCACAAAACCCTGTTATTAAAAACAGTTTGAAAGCGTGCCTATAGTAGAGATTTCAAAATAAGATATTAAATTAGTATAAACAGTTTGCTAAATTCCTACTCAGCTAATCTGTCACCCAGCGGCAGGCTGCTTCTGGGAAGGAGCCTTCCTAGTAGGCTGCTGTCCTAACAAGGAAACTGAACTAAAGGATAAAGCCTGGTCTCAAAAGGGTGTGAAATCTCCAAATGAGACATCAGAACGAATACAGCTCACTTATGAATCATCTCTGTGAATCTATCTAAAACAAACAAAAATCATGACTTAAGATTTACCAAAACACACAGCCAAAGAAAAGGCTGCTAAGAATCACAATGCCCTATGTGATTGGAGTGTTGTGTACAAGTGTCCTGTAACAACAGTTCTTAATGCTGGCTCATTTGGGCTACACTCAGAACAAAAGGTACTTTTACTTATTTATGTATGCATTTATTATTTACATGTATTTCTGGCTTGTCCTTCCAGCGATGGTCTGAGACATAATGATCCCCATTTTGCAGCTCAGCTAACTGAGGCTCAGAGCAGTTAAGTAACTCACGTGGCAGAGCCAGGATTCAAACCAGGATCTCTCTGCCTTGAGAGCACAGACTCTCACTCTTCTATATGACTTACTACCCTATAGGAGGGGTAAGCTTATCTGTAGTTTCAAGGAGGGAACTAAAACCCCACAACCTAGAAGGTCTAATGAAGATGCAAAGGACATAAATAACATGATGGAAACTGAGTGAAGCAAAGACACTGAAATAATAGTACAAAGTGCACTTACTCTAATAAAATAGGAATGACAGTTCTAGTGTTTTTGATGCCACTGGGTGATCTACTTCTAAAAGTAAAATATCTGGTTTCATGTTATTAAGATATTTTCTATATGTTTGTAAAGTAAAGGTGAAGCCTTTCCATTAAGACTTCTGGGAATACTTACACTTTTGCCCAAGAGCTTGATAAACATCAGGATTATGTTTATGACTTATTAGAGAAGATAAAGTCACAAAAGCAGTTACATATCCAAATTTAGTAAGTGAAACAGAAAGAACATACTTTTCACATTAGTTTGGATAAGAAAAGATTTCAGTTATAATGTACTAGAGGTTTTTTTTGAAATGGTTTCCTGTCTGGTATCTGAATCTCTCTGGGGAATTAAAAGAATCACCAAATTGGATATTGCTGTTGGACTTGGTAGTCAATCTTTTAATATTTATTTTGTGATTAAGGTAAAAACACACTGAGCGGCAAGTAAAGGTAAATACAGAGTAAACTAAACTATGTTCAGTTGTGTCCTACAAACAGACCAAGCCATTCTTTCCTTTCCTCTGGAAGGGCCCCAGGACTAGGAGACAGGCTAAAAACGTTCCCCACTATTCAAAGCTGTATTTTGTATATGATAAATATAGAATGAAGGTCCTTCATTCTATATTTGCCTGTTATAAAAATGATAGATAACCTACAAGGCCGCCTCCTTCACACCCCCCCCCCCCCTCAGAACCACTGCTCTGTAAAAGCAGATTCTGGTTTACAACCACTTGGTTAAAGAAATCCTGTCTCTCAGAGCTTTGGAACTGTAAAAAGTCAAGAGCCAGTTATTTTTATACGTTTGTCATTTGGGCTGTAATCATTTACTGAACTGTGTGCAGAGTACTGCAGTAAACCTGAGGGTAGGTGTCCTCGTGGGGGGCTCACACCTATACTCCCTGCTATCTGGAAGTGGCTCCCTAAGGCAGATACCACACAGTGCTGGGTAGGGACCAGAGAATTTTATCTTACTCTACCCTAATTCAGAAGCTCTATGAACTATTTGCAGGCAAGAACAAAATAGGCAGAGGAATAACATTACATAGTTACAAAGCACAGTCAACAGACCTCTCGTTTTATACTCACCACAACCCTATGAGGTGTCTATATAATTTATGCCTAATTTATGAATGGGCTAGTAGTAAGTTTTGCCCTTGGGACTTGGCCTAGAGTGGCCTGACAACAAAGTGTCTGTCCCCCTCCAGGACATTTGTTAAATGTGTGCAAAACATTATCTAACAGCCTAAGAATTCCCATCTCTCGTTCTGGGCCCAATCACCAGTGCTTCACATTTAATGCAGAGTTTAAAGATCTAACAGTAGGCACCAAAATTCTTTTAAAGCCATACGTGAAAAAAAAGACCGCTTTTTAGCACTGAAGGGGGATGAAGCAGGGGATTGTGTTAAATTGGGTTTGAAAGCAAAACAGCAGAGAAACGTTGTAATTGCCTACATCAGATAACATGTCAGTCTCTTAAAATGGCAGGAAGTAAGGCCTTTTTTTTTTTTAAAGGAGAGCAAACACAAATCTGATTTAATTGAATACAATGTTTCATTTCTTTTTTACTGAGAAGGGGTTTTACTGCCACACTCCAATAGCCTGTTCATTTATTAAAACGCGTTCTAACTTTGAAAGCCTTCTTCCACAAAAGAGCAAAGCAAAACCAAAGCTCAAATATCACATTGTGATAGGGATGATTTAAGCTTTACACTTCATTCCTGGAGAACATGTAACTTCAACACATTCAAAGAGGCTGAGTACATTTTGATACAGGCTGGTCTAACCACCTTGCTTAGTGCCTGTGATTATCTTGTGAATATTCATACTCACGTTGGTACAGCGACTCCCCATTTCACTTCTATTCCCTTCTGATTCACATCTTTTAATTATAATTTACTAAGTAAACCTAGAATAGGCTTATTTTTTCTAGTCTGGGCATAATTATTAAAAAGCACAATACTGTAGTATGGGCATTAACTTGGGCCAGGCCCTCTGTAAAGGGGGAAAACAATTAGGAACAACAAGATAACAAGATAAACATGGTCCCTCCTGGAATCTGCTTACAAAGTAGTAAGGAAGACAGTAAACAAAACAACTGCAAAGCATGGGCCAGCTGCCGCTTAAGAAATGCAGGATGCTAAAGGAACTCAGAGTAGGAAGACCTAACCTTGAGGTACTTAATGAGAACAGAAACCTAAGTAGGAGTTCCTCAAGCAGATGTGATGTGTAATGATGGGAGAGAGGGAATATGCAGTGTTCCAGGCAGAGAACAGGTTCTAAGATCAGCCTGGCTGTTCAGTAACTGAAATGGTAGTATCACAAAAGATAAGGCAGGGGAGGGGATCAAGGAGACACAACCCATGCTTGGCTCTGTTAGCCTTGTTAAGGGCCTGGATTTGTTCAGTGGGCAAAGGAACAGCCTTCTAGAATTCTATTTTATAAAGCTCACTCGGCCTGTGCTGCGAAGAATGGGATGGGCTGGGGGAAAGGGTCTGGAAAAGCATGGAGGCCAAGGAGGAGGCTGCTGTGGCCAGGTGAGAGCCTGGGGGGGGGGGGAGGGGGGTTCTCAAAAATGGACAGACGTGGACAGATCGAGTGCATATTTAGGGGGTTCAGAAGGAAACTTGATGGCTAACGGGGAGAGGCGGCTGCGGTTCTCAGCTTGGATGCCACTTACGGAGGACAGGGAAGGAGGCAGCCTGTGCCCGGGGAAGCCCGGGGGGGAAGGGCACTCTCCAGGTGACTTCGGCAGCGGATGCGTAAGCACGGGAAAGGGCGGCGCGGCCTTATGCAAGCCTTCGGGTCTGAAAAGTAAATGGAATTCAATGCTGGAGGCCAGTTCCCCGGAAAACCGAGTCGCACAGCCAAGCCAGGAAAATCGAGGCCCGAGACCAGACCGGCTTCCCGCGCCGCTCAGCACCCCCTCCCAGCTCGCCGCCGCCCGGCCCCGGTGCTCCCGGCCCGGCCTCTCGGGCCTCCAGGCCTCCCCGACCCCCGCTCGGGTCTCCCGCCCAGCGGCCTTCCGTGCACCTTCTCGCAGCCGCGGAGGCGCCGGAACAAAGGATCCGCCGCCCGGGAGCAGCTGCAAGCCCAGGCGGGTCGCCGGGGCGGGCGCGGGGCGGGCGCGGGGCTCGGGAGGATGGAGGGAGCGGGCGCCGGGCGCACAGGCTGCGGCGGGAAGACGTGGTGGTTGCACTCACCGCACAGACTCCGGGTAGCAGGCAGGAGCCGCCTCCTCTCCGCACCGGGTCGCCTTCCAAACGCCCAGCCTGCGGCGCTTAAAGGTGTGCTCGCGGCTGCCCTGCCCCCGCTAGCCCCGCCCCGGCCCCGCCCCCTCGCGCTCCCCTCTGCGGGACTCGTCCCGCTAGCCCCGCTCTCTCTCGCCCCCACCCCCCCCAGCTCGCTCCCTCATAGGCCGGCGCACGCGTCTCCCCGCCCCGCCCCACCATGCCGCTCCCTCATAGGCCGGCGCCCTCGTCTCCCCGCCCCCGCCCCACCATGCCGCTCCCTCATAGGCCGGCGCCCTCGTCTCCCCGCCCCCGCCGCCCCTAGGCCGTCCCTCATAGGCCTGAGCGTCCCTTCCTGTGGATACGCCCTCCCCGCGCTCTGGCCGCGGCCTAGTGCTGGGTTTTAAGACCGGCCCCACCTGCTTCTGCGAAACCCGTGGGTTTCCGCCGGTCGCCAGTGTTTCTGAAAGTAAAAGGAGGGACGCCTGAATGCCTCGCGAGGCCCGAGGAGCAGACAGTAGGGAGTCAGAGGCCGTCCTGACGCCCGCTCAGACCTCCCGGAGGAAGAGGAGCCGGCGGCGACCCGCCCCCCAGGTGCCCGGGGCCGCGCCTTACCTGCCCCGCCCCCCGCGCCCCGGAGTCCTCCCTGCGCTGCGGATTTCCCGCCTGTTTTGGCTCACGAACTGCGTGCACACCCGAAAGCAAGCACGGAGTTGTTTTCTTAGAAGAGTGTGTCAGCACAGTCGAGCACGAAATTCCGCATCAGAGGTCGAGAGGTTCCGAGAGGTTCAGGACGTCCTTCCAGGGCCCGGACCCACGTTGGGCACTAGCCTCGCCCCCAGCTTTTCTACCCATTCGGTTAAGAATCGGGGGCTGTAGTTTGTACACAGATACACATCGTTAAGTATGCGTGGCAGCCCTTTGGTGAATGCTTAGTACCTTTTTTTTTTTTTTTTACAGATTTCTTTATTTGAGAGAGTAGAAGCAGGCTCCCCTCTGAGCTGGCTTGATCCCAGGAGCCTGGGGTCATGACCTGAGCCAAAGGCAGACACCCAGGGGCCCCTACATTTTCTCATTTTATCCTTTCAACAAGTCTTGGAGGCAGGAATCCCAATCCCTCCACGGGTTTAAGAAAGTTACGTCGTTTTTGCTTTTTGCTAAAAAGAGAAATACCGAAATCAGATTTGGCTTCCAGGCTTGGGCCTGCCTTTATCTCTCCCAGATTGAGAGAAGAACGACCAGTGTGTTTGGCAGGCCTTTTTCTGCAGTAAAACTGAAGAACAGGATCCTGTGCAAACCCTCCCCAGGGGGCTCAGCATGCAGGTATTTATTTATTTATTTAAAGATTTTTTATTTATTTACTCATGAGAGACACAGAGAGGCAGAGACATAGGCAGAGGGAGAAGCAGGCTCCATGCAGGGAGCCCGATGTGGGACTCGATCCGGGGATTCTAGGATCATGCCCTGGGCCGAAGGCAGGCATTAAACCCGCTGAGCCACCCGGGGATCCCAGCATGCAGGTATTTTTAAGGAAGGTGCTGGTATAGTCACAGGCATCCTATCACCCCCATTGGGATGCTCACACCCTTCTTGGGTGAAACTCTTGCCAAAATGATACTTGAGTTAAAGCAGCAGCAGCAGTTTTCTGTTTTCCTGCAAATGATACTAATTAATCTAGTGAAGTTTTATCATGGTAAAGTGGTTGGCTAGAGGCCATGTCTTCTGACCGAATCCAGTCGTTTGTTGTTACAGGATCGTCTCGGAAGTGGCGAACTTTGATCTGGGGCCTTGGGGAAGAAGAATTTGGGAAAGGCAAGTGAGGCATTCCAGGTGAGAGGAATATACATGCAAGGGGGGGAAGATTGTAGTGAGCCAAGGACGGGACGCAGTCCTTAGCGCTCATTTGGTGCAGAGGCTGAACACTAAGAAATAAAATGATTAAGTGGTTTAGGTTCTGGAGAACGTGAAGTGGTTTAGAATCTGGTCCAGATTCTGGAGGGAGTTTGGACTTCTTGAGGTAAACCAAAGTGTGAATCGAGTGATGTTGTGAATCATTGATGAGCCTTGGTATGAAAAGTTAACAATCTGGTTTTAAGGGAGGTTAGTTTGGCAGAGTTAGGCTATGGGGGGGGGGGTACCCAGTGGGGATGGTAGTAAGAGGGAACTAGGAAAGAATAATATACCACCCTATGTTTTCTTATCCCTCATGGAGATTTTTGGGAGGTTTACATCTGAGTTACTTCTTTTCAAGCATAGAGAGGCAAAACGACCAAAGTAGGGAAAAAAAATTCAATTAGTATATTTAATTTCTTCAGGTGTTACTCAGCTGGGATGTACTCTTATATAACAATATTACTATAAATAAATTTTAAATTTTTTTTTAAGATTTATATATTCACTGGAGGCACACAGAGAGAGATAGAGACAGAGACATAGGCAGAGGGAGAAGCAGGCTCCATGCAGGGAGCCCGATGGGGGACTCCATCCCAGGTCTCCAGGATCACACCCTGGGCTGAAGGCGGCGCTAAACCGCTGAGCCACCAGGGCTGCACTATAAATGAATTTTGATCACATACTTTATAACGACTATTCTAGCAGTGGGAGAAGTAGTATCCATGTATTCCAAAAGGCCATAAAGGAGATTATGTTAAGAAAATATTGTCAAATACTAGGACGTTGCTAAATCCTGGGACTGGGACATAGATGCCAGAAAACACTAAATCCTGTTATATCAGTTCTCAGGGCAGAAGGACAAGTTGGACTTGGGGAATAGGAGTGGACTTGTGATAGACAAAAGAGGAAACGGAAGCTGGAAGTGCACCAGGGAGAACCATGGTTCCCTAGAAGCCGGGAATCATGGAGCACGTGCCGTCTGTTTCAGCTGCTTCTGGGACTCAGGCCATCACGTGTCGGAGCTGGGCAAGTCTAGGCATAAACTTAGGGAAACCAGGCCTGCTCAAGTTAGCTGTGACATCTCTCTGCCTCCTTCCCTCTGCCTCTTCTCCCACCACAGTTCCTCGAGAAGGACTAAGCCAGCCTTTTTTCTAGCCCTGATCACCTTTAGTTGTAAAATGGGTATTGAACATGGTTAAATGCAATGTTAAGAAAGAACATTGGGCGGAGGGGGTGCGCATCTGGCTGGTTCAGTGGGTAGAGCATGTGACTCTTGACTTTGAGGCTGTGAGTTCAAGCCTCACTTTGGCCCTAGAGTTTCATCTGACAAAAAAAAAAAAAAAAAAAAAAAAAAAAAAAAAAAAAAGGAAAAGAAAGTAACATTGTGGTACAATGTAAAGAAATAACAGAGCTCTTAAACCTACTATTTTAAAATGAAACATATTTTTCTTTGGAACTTGGAAACTTACCAAAAAAAAATAGTTCAGGTCCCTATGTGAAAAGGGGCTTTTTATGTACAGTTCTATAAAAGACAACAGTCTTTCCCCACCAGGAATTAAAAGCATTTCTAAAATGATGACCTGTGTTTTATCCCAGAGGGTAGGATATGATAGTCCAAAACCAGAATGCCAGATGCCTTCCTGGTCTCCATTTCCTTTGTTTTTGTCATTCAACCCTCCTGCTCCAGTAGTCCTGCCCCCAGTTGTCATCTAACCCTCAACCCAGCTGTTACAATTTGTGAACAGTGCAGACAACATGAGGGCATAACATATATTGAATTCCTCTTCTTTCTCTCTTGACACCGTGGTGTCCTCAGTCCAGTAAGTGTCAGACTGGTTTTGCATTGTGTCTCCGGGACTTTCATGTATGGCATACTCCCCATGATCATACCAATAGTTTTTACAAAATCAAAAATTTTCCTGATGTCCATGTCACGAAGTGTGAACATCCACGGGGTTATTCCCAGACAGTTCCTGGTTAGATACTAGAGCTACAAATCATACCTAATTGCATTCTGTGTTTATTTCCTTCACTAACTTATCAGTGGGCTTTATTAAAAGTTAATACATTTCATAGAAAAAAAACAGTTTCTCACTTAGATGTCTAAGTGTAGAGGATTTTTGTCTGTATGTGAAGCAGATTAAAATAAACTGAATACTCAGAATCTAGCAATCCAGAGTTCCATGTCACTTTGTATTGAAAAAGCCATTTCATTAAAAATTATCCCATCTCTTCAATTCCAGTGAAATTTTATTCTGTTCCTAGGCATATCTGTTATAAAGTTTATGTTGACATCTTTAGAAATATGTTTATTTCTTGGTTTACTATTTTCACGCGGATTTGTTATAACTCTGAGAGAATAATCTTTCCTAGGTCTGATATATTTGAAGTCAAATGTGAACTCTAAGTGTCATGATAGTTTATCATCTCAATCTTTTAGGATGAACCTATTTTTTCTTCCCGGGAATATCTCCTATGCCAGTGACTTTGTGTTGCAAAGTTTTCTGCAAAAGTTCAAGAGAATATTTATCAACCTGATAAGCACAAGTACTGGAAAGGCACTGTCAAAGGTAAATAGGAATTGTTCCCTTGAATGCCTCAGTCTATATTGTTATTTCACTTTAAAAAGCTAATATATATGTTTTCTACATAGATAAATTATGATGTTACTAATGAAGGTGATAGGAATGAAGAGGGAGACTACATCAGTTATTGATTTCTGTGTGAAAAACCAGACCAAAACTTCTTGCCTTAAAAAAAAGTTAATTGTATAGTTCTGTGGGTTAACTAGGCAGGTCTTTGGCAGATCTTACCTGAACTCACTCAGGCTATCTTATGCATTGAATTCAGATGTCTGGATTATCCAAAATGTCTTAACATACCTGATAGTTGGTGTTGGCTGTTAGCTGGGATAATCAATCTGGTTCTTCTCCAGATGTCCTTTTTTCCTCAATGAGACTAGAGTACTAGCATGAGTCTCAGATCAGGACTCCAGCATTGCCAAATCCAGTGCAAAAGCTCTTACTACACCTCTTTTTGCTTCACTTTGTTGATGTGACATTGACCAAAGCAAGTCATGTGGCCAAGTACAGAGTCAGTGAGTGGACTTAGCATCTCTTGATGGGAGGAATGGCAGAGATTTTGTGGCCATTATTTACCTATGATGGAAGCTTTTCTCCTTTTCTAAAAACCTATCCTTTTTTTTTTTTTTTTTTTGGAAGCAACAGTAATCCCCAATCATAAAAGTATTGCCTGGCCCTCTTACCTTAGCGTGGCTAACATGGAAGCATTGTGTGCAAACAAAAACACGTGTCATTAATAAGTAAGAATTAAAAGACTGTCATTTTGGGATGCCTGGGTGGTTGAGTGTCTGCCTTTGGTTCATGTCGTGATCCCGGAGTCCTGGGATCAAGTCCTGCAACAGGCTCCCTACAGGAAGCCTCCTCCCTCTGCCTATGTGTCTGCCTCTTTCTCTGTGTCTCTCATGAATAAATAAATAAGAATCTTAAAAATAAAAACCTGTCATTTCACTCTGACTAATCACAAAAATACAGTCATTAAATTAACATACTTTAAAATTTGTTCATTCCTGTCTTTATACAAGCTTATGATTACTATTGACATTCTAAACTAAGACTAACCAATATTCTAGGTCCCATTTATACCAGAGTTTTTCTCCCAACTAACAGTTGTGTTGGGAGAAAAGAGCAGTGGATAGAAACAGAAGAAAAGGGAACTGCACAGTGGTGTCTAGAAATGAACTCTGCACTAATAAATAGTAGCACAAGATGATGGCTGAAGTATTAGCACTACTTGGGCAAGATCGTGCTTGATGCAATAAAGTGTTTATAATAAAAACCATAATATAAAAATCACTTACATTTACTTGAGGCCTTGTAATTTACAAAATGTTTTCCTATGTCTTATCACATTTATCCTTGTGATAATTACATAAAGTGTTCAGGATGATGATGATCCACATTTTGCACTTAAGGCTTTGGGCACTTCTAAAATCAGCAATGTTAGATGGAAGAGCCAAGATCTAAAGCTACCTAATAAGTAGCCCCATTCTTATTTTATATTAAAATTTCATGCAGAAAGAAAAAAAAATATATGGCAGTTAAGGAAATAACCATTAGGAAATGAGTTTTGAGAGACACCTGGGTGGCTCAGAGGTTGAGCATCTATCTACCTTTGGCTCAGGGTGTGACCCTGGGGTCCGGGATCGAGTCCCCACATCAGGCTCCAGCAGGGAGCCTGCTTCTCCCTCTATGTCTCTGCCTTTCTCTTTGTGTCTCTCATGAATAAATAAATAAAATCTTAAAAAAAAGGAAATGAGTTTTGAAGTTTTACAAAGACAATGTATTCTAAATAAATACATTGATGTCCTTGTTTGTTTTAGTACTGATAGAAATCTTACATGGGATAGAATTTCGTTTGTCTAACTTCTAAACCAATGGAGAGAAAATGGGAAGCAAAACTGAAGCAAATTGAAGAACGAGCATCTTGTTATGAGAGGAAACCTTTGTCCTCGGTATACAGACCAAGACTGTCCAAGCCAGAAGAACCACCCTCCATTTGGAAATTATTCCATCGGCAAACTCAAGCTTTTAATTTTGTTAAAAGCTGTAAAGAGGTAATTTTCTCATCTACTTTTTTTGGGGAGGGGGAGCTATTATAACTTAAGATTTTTTTAAAAAAAGGTTTGATTGTCTTCATTTCACTTCACATGATCTACCAAAAGAATTATTGTGATCTAAATATACCACTACAAAAAAATATTCCTCTGAATTGCTGGCCATTTACTTTATATTTGCAATGAAAAAGAATGACCTATGTAGTGCCAATTAGTTTAAAAAATTTGTAATGAGGGCACCTGGGTGGCTCAGTTGGTTGAGCAGCTGCCTTCAGCTCAGGTCATGATCTCAGGGTCCTGGGATCGAGTCCTACATCAGGCTCTTGCTTAGTGGGGAGTCTGCTTCTCCCTCTCCTTCTACCCCACTACTAATGCTCATGGTCTCTCTCGCTCCCTCTCTTTCTCTCTCTCTCTCTCTGGCTGTCTCAAATAAATAAATAAAATGCCAAAAAAAATTTGTAATGACATTTTTTAAAGTTTTAGTTGAGATATAGTTGATAGTTTCAGGTGAACAACGTAGTGATTTAACAATTATGTAGATTATAAATGCTCACCATAAGTCTAGGCATCATCTTTCACCAAGTTAACTACAAAATTGATGACTATATTCCTTGTGCTGTACTGTTCATCACCGTGACTTGTGGTGTCTCTCTATCCCCCTTCACTCCAGAAAACACCAGTTCTCTGTATTTATGAGTCTGTTTCAAGTGTGTTTTGTTTTTAGATTCCACATGTAAGTGAAATCATATGACCCTTGTTTTTCTCTAACTTATTTCACTTAGCATAATATCCTCTAGGTCCATCCATGTTATTGTGAACAGCAAGACTTCCTTCTTTTTGTTTTTTATGGCTGAGTAATATTCTTTTGTGTGTTTATATACTACATCTTCTTTATCTTCATTTATCAGTGGACACTTAGGTGTCTTTCATGTCTTTGCTATTATAAACATAGGTATATATATATTCTTTTGCATTAGTGGTTTCATTTTTTCACGTACATAATTCCTAGAATTGCCTTCTCTGTAGTAGATTAATTAACCATATAATTGTGGGTCTATATCCTGTTGCACTGATTTATGTGTGTACTTCTGTGCCAGTGCCATACTGTTTTGATTATTTTAGCATTGTAATATACTTTGAAATCTGGGGTTGTAATACTTTCAGGTTTGTTCTTCTATCTGAAGGTTGCTTTGGTTTCTGTGGTCTTATGTGGTTCCATACAAATTTTAGGAGTATTTGTTCTAGTTTGTGAAAGACATTATTGGTATTTTGGTAGGGATTGCATTGAATCTATAGATTGCTTTGGGTAGTATGGATATTTTAGCAGTATTACTTCTTCAGATCCATGAACATTGTATATCTTTCCATTTGTGTTGTCTTCAATTTCTTTTATCATTGCCTCATAGTTTTCAGAGTACAGGTCTTTCACCTCCTTTATTAAATTTATTCCTAGGTATCTTATTCTCTCTAATGCAACTGTAAATGTGATTGTTTTCTTAATTTCTTTCTGATAGCTCACTATTAATATATAAAAGGGCCCTCAATTTTTGTGTGTTAATTTTGTATCCAGTGACTCTACTGGATTTATTTACTAGTTCTAATTGTTTTTTTTGGTGGAGTCTTTAGGGTTTTCTATACACAGTATCATGTTATCTGCAAATAGTGACAGTTTAATTCTTCCTTAGCAATTTGGATGCCTTTTTTCCCTTCTTTTCTGATTGCTATGGTTAGGACTTCTAGTACTATATTAAGTAAAAGTGGGAAAAATGGGCATTTTTATGTTTCCCTAATCTTAGAAGAAAGGCTTTCAGCTTTTCATTATTGGATATGATGTTGGCTGTGGGCTTGTCATATTTGGTCTTTATTATGTTGAGGTGTGTTCCCTCTATATTCACTTTGTTGATAGTTTTATCGTGATGTTAAATTTGATCAGATGCTTTTTCTGCATCTTTTGAGATGATCATTTGATCTTTATCCTTCATTCTGTTAAAGTGCTGTATATGTTGATTGATTTGTGGGTATTGAACCATCCTTGCACCCTGGAATAAACTCCACTTGATCATGGTGAATGATGCTTTTAATGTATTGTGTTGGGTTTACTAAAATCTTGTTGAAGATTTTTGCATCTGTGCTCATCAGGGATAATGGTCTGTAATTTCCTCTTTTTTAGTGTCTTTGTCTAGTTTGGTTTGAAGGTAATGCTGGTAGCCCTGTAGAACAAATCAAGAAGCATTCCTTTAAAAAAAAAAAAAAGGAAGCATTCCTTCCTCTTGTATATTTTGGAATAGTTTGAGAACTCTTTTTGGTAGAAGGGCACCTGGGTGGCTCAGTGCTACTTTTGGCTCAGATTGTGATCCTGGGGTCCTGGGATTGAGTCCCACATCAGGATCCCCACAGGGAGCCTGCTTCTCCCTCTGCCTGTGTCTCTGTCTCTCTCTGTGTGTCTCTCATGAATAAATAAAATTTTAAAAATAAATGTTTGGTAGAATTCACTTGTGTAGCTATCTGATCCTGGACTTTTATTTTTTGGGGAATTATTAAAGACATTTTTATTGGGAGTTCAATTTGCCAACATATAGCATATAACCCAGTGCTCATCCTGTCAAGTGCCCCCCTCAATGCCCATCACCTAGTCATCCCATACCCCTGCCCACCTCCCCTTCCACCACCCCCTGTTCATTTCCCAGAGTTAGGAGTCTCTCACGTTCTGTCTCCCTCTCTGATATTTCCCACTAATTTTCTCTCCTTTCCCCTTTATTCCCTTTCACTATTTTTTATATTCCCCAAATGAATGAGACCATTTAATGTTTGTCCTTCTCCAATTGAGTTATTTCACTCAGCATAATACCCTCCAGTTCCATCCATGTTGAAGCAAATGGTGGGTATTTGTCGTTTCTAATGGCTGAGTAATATTCGATTGTATACATATACCACAGCTCCTTTATCCATTCATCTTTCTTTTTTTCTTAAGACTTTATATATTTATTCATGAGAGACACACAGAGAGAGAGAGAGAGGCAGAGACACAGGCAGAAGGAGAAGCAGGCTCCACACAAGGAGCCCGACATGGGACTCGATCCTAGGTCTCCAGGATCACACCCCAGGCCGAAGGCAGCGCTAAACCAATAAGCCACCAGGGTTGCCCCTATTCATCTTTTGATGGGCACCGAGGCTCCTTCCACAGTTTGGCTATTGTGGATGTTGCTGCTATAAACATCAGGGTGCAGGTGTCCCAGTGTTTCACTGCATCTGTATCTTTGGGGTAGATCCCCGGCAGTGCAATTGCTGGGTTGTAGGGGAGTTCTATTTTTAACTCTTTGAAGAACCTCTACACAGGTTTCCAGAGTGGCTGCACCAGTTCACCTTCTCACCAACAGTGCAAGAGGGTTCCCCTTTCTCCACATCCTCTCCAACATTTGTTGTTTCCCGTCTTGTTAATTTTCCCCATTCTCACTGGTGTGAGCTGGTATCTCATTGTGGTTTTGATTTGTATTTCCCTGATGACAAGTGATGCAGAGCATTTTCTCATGTGCTTGTTGGCCATGTGTATGTCTTCTTTTTTTTTTATGAATTAATTTTTATTGGTGTTCAATTTACCAACATACAGAATAACACCCAGTGCTCATCCCGTCAAGTGTACCCCTCAGTGCCCGTCACCCATTCACCCCCACCCCCCACCCTCCTCCCCCTCCACCACCCCTAGTTCATTTCCCAGAGTTAGAAGTCTTTATGTTCTGTCTCCCTTTCTGATATTTCTCACACATTTCTTCTCCCTTCCCTTATATTCCCTTTCGCTATTATTCATATTCCCCAAATGAATGAGAACATACACTGTTTGTCCTTCTCCGGTTACTGTGGCCAAGTTCAAAAAGGGTGTTGCCTGAGTTCTTCTCTGGGATTTTGATGGAATCTTGTCTCACATTTAGATCTTTCATCCATTTTGAGTTTATCTTTGTGTATGGTGCATGAGAGTGGTCCAGTTTCATTCTTCTGCATGTGGATGTCCAATTTTCCCAGCACCATTTATTGAAGAGACTGTCTTTCTTCCAGTGGATCGTCTTTCCTGCTTTATCGAATATTAGTTGACCATAAAGTTCAGGGTCCACTTCTGGGTTCTCTATTCTGTTCCATTGATCTATGTGTCTGTTTTTGTGCCAGTACCACACTGTCTTGATGAACACAGCTTTGTAGTACAACCTGAAATCTGGCATTGTGATGCCCCCAGATACGGTTTTCTTTTTTTAAAATTCCCCTGGCTGTTTGGGGTCTTTTCTGATTCCACACAAATCTTAAAATAATTTGTTCTAAGTCTCTGAAGAAAGTCCATGGTATTTTGATAGGGATTGCATTATACGTGTAAATTGCCCTGGGTAACATTGACATTTTCACAATATTAATTCTACCAATCCATGAGCATGGAATATTTTTCCATCTCTTTGTGTCTTCCTCAATTTCTTTCAGAAGTGTTCTGTAGTTTTTAGGGTATATTTTGAGAACCATTTGAATGGTAAATGGTTCTCCAACCTTTTATTTTTAGGTTGTAGGTGTCCTTCTGTCTAAAATGAGTCTCTTGTAGACAGCAAATAGATGGGTCCTGTTTTTTTATCCAGTCTGAAACTCTGCGCCTTTTGATGGGGTCATTAAGCCCATTCACGTTCAGAGTTACTTGAACTTCTTCTTAAAGGGGAGTTTTAAGAGTCCCCCTTAAAATTTCTTGCAGAGCTGGTTTGGAGGTCACATATTCTTTCAGTTCCTGCCTGTCTTGGAAGCTCTTTATCTCTCCTTCCATTTTGAATGAGAGCCTTGCTGGATAAAGTATTCTTGGTTGCATGTTCTTCTCATTTAGGACCCTGAATATATCCTGCCAGCCCTTTCTGGCCTGCCAGGTCTCTGTGGAGAGGTCTGCTGTTACCCTAATATTCCTCCCCATGAAAGTCAGGGACTTCTTGTCTCTTGCTGCTTTAAGGATCTTCTCTTTATCTTTGGAATTTGCAAGCTTC